CCCGCCTCTCAAGATGGCTTGTCCAATGAGAAAGGCTTGAAATCCCAAGCGGGCGGTTGCAACTGCTGGAGGGTTTTACGACCCTTTGTCTCTAAGCATGGTATTTCGCATATGTAATTCGCTTGGGTGTCGACGAAAGATTACTAAAAGTTCTTAGAAGCCTAATATGTTGCATAGGTATAAACATACAATATACACTCTCAATTAGATCATCCGAATACGAATTAATAGAGACCAAACACAGTATATGTAAGGTTACATGAATGAGTGGTTCTATCATAAGCATGAATAAAATAGTCTACAATACAACAGATAATATACAAGACAGCAATAATATACACCATGACCTGAAGGATATGTGTGTTCATTCAAAGAAAGGTTTTCCTATGAGTTAGTTAGTAGAAAAGTCCACTTCTACCGTGCCTTGTGCCTCTTGCGATGGAACATGCAGTGATTTTCCCTGCTTCGCATTCCATTAGGTCGTAAATGTATCTGGTGTCAGGGTTGCCATGGTAACCAGGGTCCTGGGCCCTGTTCACAGACAACTTGGCACCCAGTATGTTTATTGGGTGAGGGGTCTGTGAACGTTTGTTAATCTAATGAATAATTGATTTCTTAAATCAAATGAAAAATGGTGTGTCTGATTGGTCCAGACGCTACAGGGGAATGTCTTTAAATTATAATCAAGGAAAAGTCATATCTTCTGTTGTCTTTTTTAAAAAACTTCAAAAGTTGTGCTTGAATCATTTTGCGCGAAAAATTATGAAAACTTGCTTCAGCTGTGTGCAGCTTCTTACAGTACCAAGTTCTGATTGGCCAATTGCCGTTATTTAGTTTGTGAATTATCAGTAGATTATTTAAACATTTAATTTGCACAATAAATGTTACATAATACACATTATTATTCTAAAGGGGGATGGTGGTTTTACTGAGGGGATGCTTTTTGTCATTTTTTTCCGATCAGGGGGATGCCATCCTCCACATCCCCCTCAATTCGAGCCCTGGGTATCGTTAAGATTTTAACGGTATTACTATTCTCACGATACTGCACATCAGTCCAGGTCTTTAATGGTATTCTTTTTTTCATGAAAAAAGGGCCCATTAAATACCGTGTTCTGGTACCCATCCCTTCTTACAAGAGAAGCAAATAAAGATCAGTTGCAAAGCTACATGACAGTATATCTTGCATCTGCATTTTCTAAATACATCTTAAGTGGAAGAATAATTAGTCATTTTAAAAACAACAGTGAAGAAAAATAAGAAAGCACAATAATAAAATGTTTTGACAGTTATTTGGGGAGGAACTCCATCTTTGATTTGATCAGAATCTCAGCAGAATCTTGAATACTTACTGTGATAGTTTTTTGTATGACTTTGTAGAGAAGATGATTGATTGAAACACTTCCCACATGCAGTGCAGCGATACGGTTTCTCTCCAGTGTGGATCCTCTCATGTATTTTAAGATTTGATGAATGAATAAATCTCTTGTCACAGTGTGAACACTTGTGTGGTTTCTCTCCAGTATGGATGTTCATGTGTTTCCTAAGGCTTGATGATTGAGTGAAACTTTTCCACACTGATCACAAGTGTACGGTTTCTCTCCAGTATGAACTCTCATGTGAACATCAAGACTTCTTTTGCATGTGAAACTCTTTCCGCATTGATCACAAGTGTACGGTTTCTCTCCAGTGTGGATCCTCTCATGTGTTTTCAGATTTGTTGACTGACTGAATCTCTTGTCACAGTGTGAACACTTGTAAGGTTTCTCTCCAGTGTGAATCCTCTCATGCAGTTTTAAACACTTTGCTGAAGTAAAAGTCTTTTCACACTCAAAGCACATATACTCTCTCGCACCAGTATGTATTTTCTGATGTTCTTTCAAAATTGAAAAACGTGAAAATCTCTTTCCACACAAATGACATGAATGTGGCTTCACCTCTGAACTCTCAGATGATTCTTCAGGTCTGAAGCTCTCAAAAATGTTTTGCTGCATTGATCACATGCGTACCGTTTCTCTCCAGTGTGGATGTTCATGTGTTTCTTAAGGCTTGATGATTGTGTGAAACTCTTCCCGCATTGATCACAAGTGTACAGTTTCTCTCCTGTATGAACTCTCATGTGAACATCAAGACTTCTTTTGTATGTGAAACTCTTTCCACATTGATTACATGTGTACAGTTTCTCTCCTGTATGAACTCTCATGTGAACATCAAGACTTCTTTTGTATGTGAAACTCTTTCCACATTGATTACATGTGTACAGTTTCTCTCCTGTATGAAATTTCATATGAGTTATAAGGATTCCTTTCCGTGCAAAACTCTTCCCGCACTGATCACATGTGTACGGTTTCTCTCCAGTGGGGATCCTCTCGTGTGTTTTCAGATGTGATGACTGAATGAATCTCTTGTTACAGTGTGAACACTTGCAAGGTTTCCCTCCAGTGTGGATGTTCATGTGTTCGTTAAGGTTTGCTAAGTATGCAAAACTCTTTCCACATTGATTATATATGAATGGCTTCTCTCCTTTATGAATTCTCATATGTGTCATAAAGTGTCCTTTTTGTGTGAAACTCTTCCCGCACTGATCACATGTGTACGGTTTCTCTCCAGTGTGGTCTTCCTTGTGTTTCTTCAGATGTGTTGACCGACTGAATTTCTGGTCACAGTGTGAACACTTATAAGGTTTCTCTCCAGTGTGGATGGTCATGTGCTGCTTAAGGCTTAATGATCGTGTGAAACTCTTCCCACACTGATTACAAGTGAACGGTTTCTCTCCAGTGTGAACTCTCATATGAACATCAAGACTATTCCACACTGAGTGCAGGTGAAAGATTTCTTGGCTCCTCTTTTCTTTAAATCTTTATGTTTGGTTTGAGAGCAACTCAAAGGTTTTTCTCCAGTTTTGACATGATCTTTCTCCTCATCTTCACTCAATTCTTCGTTCTCCTCACTTTCTTCAATAAACTCTAAAATAAAAGCAAAAACAGTTCATTTGTCAGTAACCTGAAAAACATACAAACAAAAACAGAAATGTGAAAGTACATAAAAGGCAACCCTGGTGTAACAGACAATTTCTATTCAAAATTTTGCTCCTTTTGATGCAATTTTATAAATTTGACCTATCTTCAAAATATAATTTTTAAAACATTATAGACAAATCACATTTCTACACTGAACAAAAGCCAGTCAGTATCTGGTGTGACCACCTGGTGGACATTCCTGCAGTCAGCATGCCAATTGCACGCTCCCTCAAAACTTGTGACATCTGTGACATTGTGCTGTGTGAAACTTTCGAATAAGTGTGGTCCTCCATCCATGGATCGGACCACTGCGTTTGGGCATCACAGAGGTTAGTAGGATTTTGTTCCACATCCATGTTATCAAGCTCACCTACAGGTAACAAAACAATTGCACACTGAGAATTCAGTAAGAGTTGTTGCTGTGGTTGTTTAACAAAATAAGAAAAAGTCAGAAATGTATTTTAGGATAAGCACACATTTGTGATAAGCTAGCTAGCTAGCCAGCAAGTATAAACTACCCTTTTCTATTAAACATGTTTTCCAGTCAAATGCTGAAATTTGTGTAACGCTTAGTGAGTAAAGTTACCTGTTGAGAATGAACTGTCATCCCTCCTGAGGAGTCGGCGTCTCTTTTCTGGAGGCTTCTCCTAACCGAGGAAAAGAGTAGGGTATGGGTTGTCTTCTGTCGGGTTTTTTTTTTTCCACAAAGTGAAAAGAGCATACGTAAAGTGTTTTGGGGGGCTTCTTTAAAAAGGGGTCATATGATGCTTTTTTAAAGATCATTATTTGGTGTATTTGGTGTAACAGAATATGTTGACATGTTTTAATGTTCAAAAAACACATTATTTTTCAAATACTGTACATTATTGTAGATGAGATATAAATAACTCCATGTGTTTATATTGTAACCAGGGCCGTTTCTGAGCATAAGGGTTCCTCAGCAAAGTCCTACACTCTAAAAAAAAAGGTTCTTCAGCGGTTCTTTGGAGTGGTTAAGGTGCTATATAGCACCACTACCGTATAAGAACCTGT